CACCTGCAAAAATGATAAATCAAACATAACACATCTAGATGACCTCTTACTGCCCTCTTTGTAACGTAAGATGTTGAAAAGATAAATCAAACACAATACATCGAGAGGATCCCTTACTCCTTACTGTCTTTCCTCTTTGTAACGTAACATGTTAGCTGTTATATGTTCGATGGCGAAACCCTATACAGRGAATTAACAACTTCCTTCCATTGTCCCTTTTACCTCACTCGGCCCTAACCACAAAGGCTAAAAGACCAGTGATCCGACATGTAATACACCGGTCCTAGGCTGCAATCCCGTTCCTCTGGGTATTACAATCGGTAGTCACGGTCCTAGGCTGCAATCCCGTTCRTCCGTGACTAGCGATATCTGGAAGTGTCAACCGCTCTCTACAATTGTTAGAACGTCACATGATCCTCTTGATCACTTGTAACACCTAACCTCACACACAACATAAAAATTTACCTTTGACCCGCATGTATCTAGACAGATCACACGTGGATCAGCTTCCTCTTGAAATCCTGCATCCACAAAGGTTAGCCGCAAATACAAACATAATCATCCCATGAATCATGCAGCATGCAATCACACAATCAAACATCATGCACAAACAATCAAAGAAAACACTAAACCAAATTTCTAGAATTCTAGCACGAACCTCTATGATTATAAACATAACAATAAACAAGCAACGTGTGCCCTACTCATCTAGCACACAACAAGCATCACCAAGACTTACCTTATTCAAACGGTTAGGACTTAGACTCGGACTTAGGCTTAGAAAGGATCTAGGTTCCTCGACTACTCCACGATCTAACAAATCTTCTTTTTCCGTAAAACAGACAGAGTTTCGGCTTGAATCTCGATCATTCCAACCATCAAAACCACAAAGGGTTGGATTCAAGATCACAAGACGAAACTAATTCAGATAGAAAAGTTAGGATCGGAACGCCTTACCCTAAAAACTTCACGGCACTACTGGATGGTTCCCGACAACAGACCGCGGATTGGATCACGATCACGAACTATTTTGGTCAGAGGTTTGGAACGTTTTTTATGTAAGAAATGAGAGCTACTTGGTCCTATTTATAGGGTAAAGCAAGCAGGTAGGCACAGTAGGACGGTCAGAAGTGTGTGTCGTGCTTCCCGATGAGTCGTTGCACACGGTCGCCAAGAGTCTGCACGACTACGTATCTTGGAATAGAGTCCAATCTGAACCGCCACTTGAGCACCAATTTTCGTGCGCGGAGACACCAATTTCCTCTTAGCATTTGTGACTTTATTTTGTTTTTTTACGGACACTTAGGTCTCTGCCTCCAACAAGTTCCATGTCACCCAATCTAGTTAATTTTTTAGGTACCAAAGTTAAATCTCTGAAATTGACCTGTTTCTTTCTATAGTTAAAAGAAACACTCTTTCCGGTCGAGAAGGTTTTGATTCCGTTTTTTTTACTCAACCTCGTTGCCGGAGTTGGACGCTAAGACTAAGAGAGCCGTCGCTTTACATCGATCTGCGTACGAGGACGATGACGCCGATCATCAGATCCATTCCCGTTCTCGCTCTCTTCGCTTTACAGATCTGCTTCATCTTCTTTGCTTCCTCTCTCCCATGCTCTTCTGGGTAATCAATCACTCCCTCTCTTTGATTTTCGTGTTCTAGTGTTCGTCTAGTCGATGCAATTGCTTGCGTTTCAATTTGGGAAGTTCTTCTGTTGATAATTTGGTGTAGCGTCTGCTTGGCGAGTTCATTACTTTGATTTTGGAAATCCGGGAAAATCATGTTCATTCGAATTGCAAGTTTGTGCTCTATTCATCTGTTTCCTTCCTTCTTATCTTCTCTTTGTTTGGTTTAAGGTCTGAGGATACTTACACCATCACTGGTAGAGTGAAGATTCCACCAAGTATGTTTCCATCTTCTCTCCTTGTTCTTGTCTTCTTCTCTGTATTGTATTTCTCCTCACTCCTTATGCAATTTTCATATCGATTCTTGGGTTAATTGATTGTTCTAAGGAAAATAGTCAAATCTGTAGATTTTATAATGTACGTATGTGCCTGTGAATGTCAATATCATCTGCTATGCAGTCTTCCTTGTGGACCGTGTGGTGCTATGAGTGTAATTCATGTTTCGATTGATATATATTCTGAAGCTTGAGTTGTATTTGCATAGGTTAGATAGGAGTATTTCTGTGAATAATTTTCTTACTTTACCTTACGTGTTGAGTTTATAATCTAAGAACTGTTAGGTATTATGTAATCTCTTTAATAGATGTGACTAATGTTTTGCTTAAGAATTCTGAGTAATATGTTTTGATGTTTTGAATGATGAACTTTTACTGCTCCATGTATATGATACATTAAACTCCTTGGAACTGATCGACAAGCTATTTCGTAGGCAACGTGATTGGTCACACAGCAAAGTTCTCAAATGTCAAAGTTATACTCAATGGTGGACAGAATGTTACGTTTCTCAGGCCTGATGGATACTTTACTTTGTATCCTATTGATCCTTCAAGGAAATATATCTCACAATATATAATTGTATTGGTTTCTTTACTTGCGTTTGATATATGTCGAAAGAATATCCCAACAGTATTGGCTTTTTGTGTGTGTAAATGTTGCTAGAAATAAACCAGGCAAACTAAATACTGTATGGTGTCACGAAAAGAAAAGTAATGTTCCTTGATTTAATTGTTGTGGTCCTTGACTTAGCGGTTTGTAAAGTCATAAAGTGCCTGCTGGGACTCATTTGATTGAAGTCTCTGCAATGGGCTACTTCTTTTCTCCGGTAAGTTTCCTGTGTTGCTATGTTTTATGGTACCCAAAACGGCAGTTTTGTAAGAACCTGGTTCTCATGCAACGAGGGATAACCAAATCTAGGTACGAGTAGATGTTAGTGCTCGGCATCGTGGAAAGGTTCAAGCAACACTAACAGAAACCAGGAGGAGTCTTACTGAGCTGGTTTTGGAGCCAATGAGGGAAGAGCAATACTACGAGGTGATACTTCACATAACTCTATTCATCATATTGATATTTCATGTGCTTCTTCATGTCTTATATATATGCTGATCTGATCATGTAAATACTACAGATTCGAGAGCCTTTCTCCATTTTGTCAATTGTGAAAAGTCCGATGGGTCTCATGGTGGGATTCATGGTCGTGGTTGTGTTCCTAATGCCCAAATTGATGGAAAACATAGGTACGCTTCTAATGCCCTCGACTGGTATGCAAACATGTCAAAATGAGAGCCAACACATTGATCTTTCAAGCTTTTGCTTGTTCTTTCAAGCTTTTGCTTGTAATACAACTATGGATACGATCCACAATTCATAATCTGTATCACTTATTACCGATTCTAGGACCTTGTAAAGCTCTTGAAATGGTTGGTAGATTGCTAGTTAAGGAGAGTTAATGATTGTTTGCTGATGAGTACACCTAAAATGTGTCATAAACAGATCCAGAGGAGATGAAGCAAGCACAAGAGGAAATGAGGAGACAAGGCGTACCTTCGCTCTCGAGCTTGTTGCCAGGTGCTGGGGCTAGCCGCTAAGATTTCCTCGGTTAGCTCAACGTATCACAAAACTAGCGGAGAAAGAAATTTCTTAGTGATCTGAGCGAGCCTGTTAGTTTGTTCTGCAAGTGATGATATTAACGCTATTTTGTTCGAGTTATCTGATATGTGAAGTCAACTTGTGTGGCTATAGCAAAAAAAAAAGGTCGTCTTATGGTTTGTACTTTGTACTTTGTACATCGACACTCTCTATTGTGTTTGTTTCAGTTCGACTCAAGATGAAGATTGAAGAGTGAGGTCTTTAGCTCGATCCAATATTGGATATTTATCACTCCTCCAATGTGTTTGTTTCAGTTCTTTCATCTTTGAAATGTTAAGCCTTAAAATAATTCTGTGTTTTTTTTACATTAATTGAATCATAATAAATGGAAAACAACACCAACAGTAAAAAATGATGTCCGGATCTAGGGGTAATAATGTTGATCTAGAAATGGGCATGCAAATGACATATGGAGTAAAC